TACTCTACTAGATATCCCACTACATAGGTTTGGTCTCAGCACAGACATGGTGGCTTGCAACTGTCTGTAACTCCAGTTACAGGGGATCCAATGCTCTGCTCGCTGAGGCACTGTGAGCATATGGTGCATTCACATATATGCAGCCCAAACACTCATACACATAAAATAAAAATACATTGAAACCTCTTTACTGCCTTAAGAAAAAGAGATAACCTGGTATATTTTACATTTAAAAGATGAGTCAATTATTAAGACATACTTTTATTAAATGATTTTAAAAATCTCTAAACTGCTTTCTGCTGGGCAAATGTCACATTTTAGATAAGCTCTTTTGCAGAGACCCTTTTTCATAATTACTAGGCCTCGATCTAATTAAAATATACATAGCCTGTAAATTAAACAATGGGCTAATTTTGTTAATTGTGATTTAAATTGTTCTCAGAAACTCTATTTCTGGCAGTAATATCTTCTCCATTTCTTTTTAAAGAATTATTTCTTTTACTTTTTGAGATTATACTATAACTAAATCATTTCTCCCTTTCCCTTCCTCCCTCCAAACCTTCCAATATACCATCTTCTTGCGCTCTTTAAAATTCATGGCCTCTCTTTTCATTAAATGTTGTTACATAAGTATATGCATATGCATGCAAATTAAATGCATTAGTGATTAACTCCAAGTCACCAATAATGCATCCTTATAAAGGAAAGAAATAAAAGCATTTCCCTTTGGAGTCATTTAACCAAGAAAGACTCCAGATTTTACTCTCTACTTCACACTTGCCATGTCTTCTCTACTCTGTCTGTTGCATGAGTCTCAATCTGTGCCTGCCTGAAGGCTGTCATATGAATGTGTGTGTGTATCTGTCTGCATTCTCTGTCTGCATTCTCTGTCTGTGTCTGTCTGTCCCTGAAAGGACACTAGGAGCACAAAGTAGAGACTCACTCTTAAGAGCTCTGAAGTCACTCTTAGTTAAATGACTCCAAGGGGAAATGCCTTCATTTTTTTCTCCTTGACTCAATATGCATGCATTATTGATAACACAGTTAATTACTAATGTGTTTACCTCATGCACATATGCAGAATCTATTAGCTGGTGCTATCATTATTTTTGTTTGTTTTTGCATACTCAGGAAAACAATAAACTTATGGCGATGTGAACCAAGTAGCCCTATCTTTTGGAAGGTGACCATGTGACTTTAAGGATGGACATTAGTTTTTGGTTTGTATTTCCATGCTCTCACATCCCTGCAGAGCTGGGATGTTTTTTTTACCTGTCATGATCATGACAGGAGAGCTTGAACCTCAGAACACAGCAGAGAAACATGGTCCTCCTTATAATTATGACAAATATATTTCTTAGCTATAATCTCTGAAGGGACTTGAGAAATTCTGGAGTCTCTTTTCCTCAGCTTGTGAAGATGGGCATCAGTGTACACAGAGAACTGTAATCAGCAATCAGGAGACAATCTATAAAGAAATGACCAAACAGTGTAGTATACATGGTAGTTATATTTCTAGTTTTTTGAGAAAGGTGTAGACTGTTTTCCAAAGTGTCTTCTCTAGTTTACACTTCCACAAGCAGTGTACAACAGTGTCCCTTTCCTCACAATCATGTCAGAATTTGTTATTTATCCTGATGAAGGCATTTTGACTGTGGTGAGATGGAATCTTAAAGGAAATTTAGTCTGCATCTCCCTGATAGCTGTGTATACAGGACTCTTTGTCAACCCAACTTGAGAAGTACCCAAGCTAACTGCACGGCCTAATCAGTAGACATGAGATTCCGAGCATATCTAATGCCTACTGACTTTAAAGACCTCTAGGCAACTATATTGGAAACTATAAAAGAAAGGTTGAATATCCTGATTCGTACCACATACCAAAATTATACCAACATGAAATAAATAAACTGATAATTAAGCAGCATCAACAGTGAAGCAATAATAAATGCACCCTATTCAAAAAAGGGGGGGAAGAGGAGACTGAGTCCTCACAGAATTATGTCAGAATTTCATAGACTAACTGATATTGAAGCTACTTAAAGGATTTCTTGATGTAAAAATAAAGAAAGGATTCTGGAAACTTAATGAAGCTAATGTTTGCTGATACCAAACCAGATAAAGACACAAAAATGAAATTACAGACTGATGTCATTTTTATTTTATTATTTTTTCCCTTTCACGTGATATACCTTGCTTAGTGTACTCTCATCCCTGACTCCCTACAGTCCTTGACCATTATTCATTATTTTTTCTCTCTCTCCCTCTCTTTTCCTCCCCCTTTCCTCCCCCCCCCGTGTGTGTGTGTGTGTGTGTGTGTGTGTGTGTGTGTGTGTGTGTGTGTGTGTGTGTGTATGCTTCCCTACCTCTCTTTTTTCTAGTTCATTTCTATTCATTTTGTTTTTGAACCACCAAGATTAACCAGAGCCATCTGTGAGGATGTAGGTTTGGAGCCTGGTGGGCTCACCAGCAGAAGAGGCACAGGTGGAGCCCTGTGAGCCTCTGCCCTTCCTAGACTGATTGTGTCCAGGGCTGGCCTTGACTGAGCCCAGTGCAGGTGAGTACAGTGGCTCTGCATTACTGATTACAACAGCTGTGTGGAGTCTGGAGCATGGCAGGTCATGCCCATTCCCCCTCTTCCCCTTCTTATTTCCTTCCTACCTCCTTTTCCTCAATATTCCCAGAGTCATAGATGACATGGTGTAACTGAGCTGTTTAAGGCTGTGCCACATACATTGTTTATTTTCTGTGTCTGAGACAGGCAGGAGTCTATGCATTCACCACCGTAATCATTTTTAAAAGATCTTTTCTTTTTTTTTTTTTTAGAAGTTTTTATTATTTTACTTTCCATTATTTCCTAACAAAAATGAAAACAGTTGAAGACAACAGAGTGACAGTTTTGTCACCAAATGGCCTCTTCAAGCCAGGCTGGTGACAAACTCACCTCTGGGGTTTGATGGCTGCAGAACTCTAGCTGGCACAAGTCCTCACTTCAACCTGTCTTCTCCCCCTCGCCCCAGCACACTCACTCTTGTTACACTTGAATAAATGCTTCAAAGAAGAGTAATTTAAACACACACACACACACACACACACACACACACACACACACACACACGAGTACAAATACCACACACATGCACACACTGTGGTCAGCCATAAAAAAAATAGCAGTGTCTATTTTGTCACAATAAACTACCCAAACCATTGATCCCTTTCTGGGTAGATTCGGTAAGTCAGAGATTCTGCTGCTTTCTGCGTTAACTGGAATTAAAATGGATGGTTTCTTCTCCCTGCCACAGTTAAAGCCTAGAGCAGTGTTTCCTCCACCTGTCCTTTCCCAAGAATTCTAAAAGATGTTTTCCACGTTTTATTTAAAAGCACCTTTAAAAGGATTTCTAGAGGACAAAGTTCCTTGAGAGTTAGAAAAATAGCAATGCCATTATCTAATGGTGATGTCAAGACTTTGCAGAATTAATGCAGCCTTAGGCTGGCAATGGGGTGACTGAATGAAGAAAACAAATAAAAAAGGAAAGGGCATGGCTAATCTTAGGTATGGTGGAGGAGAAAGTTTATTATACATAAAAGGGAGAGTGTAGGTAGAGGCATGGACAGGGACATCTGGAAGAGTTCAGAGTGGACATGACCTGACTGAGCTGGGCCATGCAAGAGAGGGGGAGGGGGAGAAATATGAAGAGAGGGGAACCAGGTGCAGTAGCCAGGAGGCCAAAGGTACAAAAGAGGTGGGTGACCAAAATGTCTGGATTATATAGGGAAGAACCTCTGGGGACAGGGTATCCCAGTCCCTGGGCTGGAAAGGTCAGGGTAGAGGTCGGGGTATGCCAGCCATACCTGTATCAGGTAGGGACTGAGGGATGCTGGGAGAACCTGGAGACCAGGTCCACTTTGATATGTTAAATAGGCACCTCAGTCATTTGTCCCAGGTTTGAAACTGACCTCTGACTTCCTGAGATATCTATTTCCTCTTAAAATTCTGAGTTCCTGAAACATCTTTCCCCAAGGCAATATTGCGAATAATGCATTTCCAGATATTTGAATGACGATAGTGGAGGTCTGTGAGGGAAGGATAAAATAAAGATGGCTTTTTAGTGTCACTTCCTTTGCATATTGATGGAAATGATTATACAGCTTTCCATGAAAGCTCTCCAGAGTGAGTTACTGTGTCTAAAATTTAGAATATTTCAAATAAGTGTAGAATATACAGATAGAACTTCTCTTTTACCTATAACTAGTGCTACTTGCACGGAGCATTTTGTTTTGCTTTATCATTTTCTCTGACCAAGCCATCCAGCTCCTCTACTTTGTCTTCAAGCCTGATAGTCTCCTTCCTATTGGATCTCTTTGAGTTATTATTAGATTTGTTGCATTTTTCATTTTTTTTCCATTTCAGTTTGGGTTTTTTTTTTCAGTGTTTCTAACATTTATTGAATTCAATTTTTATAATCTACATTGTCCACATTTCGTAATGTCATTTGCTAATGTTTTCTCACCCATCAATCATTTTGCTCCTATTCTCTTTGAGTTCGTTCACATGCTTTGGCCTCCTTGAGCATGACGCTGGTTTTGAGTTCTGTATAACGGATATCATTTAAATTGCTTTCCTTAGGGGACGCAGCTACAGCTTGTGATTTTAGTCGGTGGAATTTTGTCTTAGTTTTTAAAGGGGCTCTAGTAAGCCCTAGCGCTGCAAACATGGCTCTGGCAGGCCTTGCCCTTCTCCGACTTCCTCTTAATTGCTAAAATACATTAAAACACATTATTAAAGCTAGCCACCAAGGTCCATTCCCGTATTTGGCTACTTCCTCTTCCAGACCTTGACTACCAAGGTCTAGCTATCAAGTATTTAACCCCAGCAATCAAAAGCCCCCTTTGACTAACCTAATTAACATGCTCAATCAAAATATAACACTGCATTTCAATCCATTCTAACATAGACGCCCCCCCCCTTTTTTTCCTCTTAAAAATCACACATGCGATGTCATTTGCTGATGTTTTTCTGCCTGAGTCAGAGACCAGCCACTTTAATTTTCTCCACAGCTTAATAAAGGATCTCTGTGAAAATAGGTGTTAGGATGTGGTTTGTGCCTAATCCGGGGTCAGGGAGGGAGCACCCTGCTGTGGGCGGATCCCTTCAGTTTTAATATTGCGTTTTGGGAATGGAACAAAAACAAATCAAAATTTAGGGTGTCTGTGCGTTTTTAGCACAGAAAGCGGATATTTCAAGATGAGCACGTAGGCAGGATAATTTGTATCAGATGGGGTCAGAGCTCAGGGTCAGAGGCTGGGTTGCAGCCTCCTCCTAGATGCAGTTCTGGTCTAGGCTGGCAGCAAGCATGTGGGGAGGCTGTGCAGAGCGGGTCCAGGGCAGCCTGACAGCTGGAGCTGTGTGGAAGGCAGCCCGAGACGGAGTGGGCGGGGCGAGGCTCGGGGAGGGAGGAGGGGGGGACTCACCCACGCAGAGGGATGATGAAGAAAAGAGAAAAGCTCAGTGTACTGGGAAAACTAATTAAGAAAGGGAAAGCGTCTGACCTGAGCCAGTTTAGAAGAGCCACGTGACCAGATCCGGGTTGTAGTGGGCGGGACCAGGCATGAGCTCTAAGGAGTTAGTCAAGAGTGACAGGAAAATCCTCCATTCACTGTGGGAACTCGGGGAGCCGCGTAGTCCGGAATCCGGGGCGGAGGACACTGGCTTCCCTAGGAGGACATGAAAACTCCCGGTAGCCACAGGTGCCACGTCCGGTGTCCTGGGAAAGTCACCAGTCAGCAGCGCAGTGGCGGGAACCGCAGCCCGGCGGCCCTGGAACCTCCCAGGTCAGAGGAGCTGCGGGGCTGGGACACGGGAGGGGAGGGACCGGGGTGTGCTCGCGGAGGCTGCTCAGAAGGACACAGCTTTCAAATTTCTGTTGTGGATATCGTACCATTGTCGGGAAGTTTGAGGTGCTATACACTGAAGCTTATCCTGTTTGTTTTTTTTTTTTAATTTTATGGTTGCCAGAATATTTTCATAAAATAACCTGGTAGATAAAGCGTTCGCATTATGTGCTGTTAGCAAACACGGTTCTATTTGCTATTCTTGTAGCAGTTACAAAGCTTCTGGAATTTAAATTCATCCATGCTTTCTTAGCTGGCCTCTTCTACCACGTTCCTATTCAAGAGAGTAGCCTTTGCCCCTGGGACTAGGCACCCAAAGAGCTTTGTAGATATTAGCCACTTGAGGAACCAGTGCAGATTTGATTGAATCAGAAAATACACCGTGACAGGACAAGACAGTGCAGAGGTTCCTCCATCTTGTATTCTTGCTGAGGCTGTTTCCAGGGTTAACTAGAGTCTGATTTTCTTGATGGAGAATGCCATGGAAAACTACCAAACTCTATTCTAGAAACCAAAGGTCAGGATGTCCTAGCTAATCTATCTTACTTAGCCTTTGTTAAAACTGCTTTTTTGTGGAGAACCTCCCCCAGCTAACTTTTTATTCTAGCTGCCTGTGTGTGCAGAGGAATTCCCCCTCGGGCAGGCTAACATCCTCTCTTAGCTTCTGTTAAAAACTGCTTGCTTCTGTTAAAAACTTCCCCTACAACTGCCAAGCAAGACTCCTGGACCGAGGTCTCTGCCCTTAAAAACTCACGTTCTGGATACTTGGAGCCTTGCCTAGGACCCTGAACACTTGAGTGTGGTCTCAGCTGGCTGGAATACAGACTTTGAGTTGGCTATAAACTGTTGAGTGCTAATCTCTCTTAGGCTACCCATAACAATACTTTATCAAGTGCCACAGTTATGGTTGTGAACTTTTACTAAGCAAACTTTTACTCGCTATTAATTTTCCATTCCAGATGTATGTGTTCTATGATGTAAATGCAGCATTCAGAAATACGTCTTCACGTACTAAGTACTTAATGTTACCTCTTAGGTCCAGACAAGGGCAGTATGCATGCTGTGAGAGGATATCAGTCCACACTATTTTTATAGTTAGAAAATTCAGTATAAATGAAAACAAAATTAAAAGGCACCGTTTGAATAATTTTAATTACTCACCTAGATCAGAAAACAATGTTTCCTTGACTCAAGCAAAACACTTTGCCCATGTACCTGTGGCCAAACTTTTTTTTTTTTTTTTTTTTTTTTTTTAAATTTCAGGGTTTGTTGACCTTCAGTGGTGTGACTGTGGACTTCTTGTGGGAGGAGTGGGAATGCCTTGACCCTGCTGACAGGGCTTTTTGCAGAGATTTCCTGTTGAAGTGCAGCAGTCTGGATTCTGAGGGTGAGAATAGTTTCCTTGCAGTCTTTTAGCTTCTCTTCATGGTTCCTGAAAAAACTACTCTGCATGTGTGTGAGCTGTGTGTGAATGAGTCTCACATCTCACAGAGTAAAGTGAACTCCTCAGAGAAAGAGAGATATTTTATTTTCTTTCTCCTTCATGTGTATCTACTTGACAGGTGTTAACACATCTTTCATTTTTTGTCCCATGAAAAGTTCCAGGTGCTTTCTGAAGAATCTCTTTCCTGTGTGCAGGTCTCACATTGCTCAGCCAGATGTGCTCACCTCTGAAGCAGAACAAAGAACCCTGGATGGTGAAGAGAGGAGACAGTAGCAAAGGACCCAGGTGTGTTAGAGGGACTGAGGAAGCGGTAGGGAGGTGACGGGTGTTCTGTGTTTTTCAGGTCAGTGGAAGAAAGGTCACTCCAAGGTGAATTTTAGGCCCCTTTTGATTGTTACACAAAAGTTGTTCTTTGGACAAAAACAAGTTCCTCATACCATAGCCCTGATCAAATCTCTATGTGTTCTGAAGGAAAACATCACGCCCCTGTCTTATTGTTGCTGCTTGCAGTGCCCAATAATTCAAGACATCCAGGTGTGCCAGGATAGTCTTGTGACCAAAGTCATGCAAAAGCTGTAACACTGCTTCAGAAAAACAACTCTGTAAATCATAGAAAACAGTCACTGTTTTCCACAGTGATTTCTTCAAGGTTAAAGTACATCTAGAAACCAGCTGTTCATTCTACTGTTTACCCTAGATGTGGTGATTGCTGGAGTCCCACAACAGAGATGGGCTCCAGGGGCAGTAGAAACAGGACAGGAAATTTGTTTTGACACATTCTGTTTCGTTAGAAATGGTTCTAGAGAATTCGACTCAAAATAATCTCAGGATAGTCCTATTGTAGGCATATAGAAGACTCTCTATGTAAGAATTAATACTCAGAGGCAAATACAATTTTATCTGACTTTGCATGTGAAAAATACTATCTCTCATTCACATCACTGGTTGTGTCTTCATACCAATATCAAATGGTTTTCATTAATTTTAACATAGTGTTTCGTTAGAACAATTCCTTCAGGTTCTGTATCTTTTAAGGTTAATTTCTCCACTTCTAAAATAGTGCCAGCAGGATTTTGAAAAGATTTGGTTAATATATTTTTATTTATAATTCTTTTATTTAAAAAAATTCTTTCCTTTTATATACTAACCCCTGTTTCCACTCTCTCCCCTTCTCCCCCTCCCCCCACACCTCTCCCTCTTCTCCTCATCCCCTCCTCATAGGGGTTAAGGCTTCCCTTGGGTAGTCAACACAGGCTGGCAAACCAAGTTAGGGCCAGACCTAGCCACTTCCCCCTGTATTAAGGCTGAGTAAGGCATCGCACCATAGGGAATGGACTCTAGAAAGCTAATTCGTGTACCCTGGATAAGTCCTGATCCCGTTGCCAGGGGACCCACAAACACATCAAGCCACGCTGGTTAATCTCTCTCTTAATATCTTAATATCAGTGTAGTAAACTCCTGTCGTCTGTCTTCACGTCAACACTCAATGGTTTGCATTGCTACAATTTTAAGGTGTTTCGAAATCACCTCTGGGTTGGATCCTGTCTCGTGATTTTTGAACTCTATGTGGTTTCTCAAAATTTTATAAATCTTAGGGAGATCTTCTCTATTTATATAAAAACAGTGCCTGTACAATCTTGGTACAAATTATGTAGAATCTTTTCAGAACACAAACATCTTTTTATATTCCTTCACATGTTTGAATGATAACATGCCAGCAGTGCTTCAGTGTTCAATATGTCTGAAATAACTGCTGCCCATTGAAAACAAATTTTCTTTGACCCAGGCTGAAAGCAGCACCAGGCAATGGCTTTGTAAAGGCAGTTTAAGTGTTTGTACAAGTGGCAAAATGTGAGTACTGGTTTCCCTCCTAAGGCCTATAACATTCCCCATAGTTGGCTTTCAGCCAAGTTCCCATCAATGTATTTCCTTCTACAGAGCTGACCTCAGTTTGAACCAGAAACCTTCTCTTTCCCACAAAATAGTCTTGCCACTATGACAACAGTAGTCATGCCTTGCCTGGCAGATTGGGATTATATCACACAGGATTCAAATCTGGGTATGTACATTAAGAACGCTGCCCCCTGCCCTGGCCTGCATAGCAGTTTTTGACACTGTGAATGCTACCACCAGGGAGTCCAAGATATTTTTAGATACTGTGAGTGGTCTGCTGACTTCTCAGCAGCTTATTGTTGGTATGTACAAAAACCAAGAGATGTTGTAAGTGGAGTATATAGTTTGGTAAGAGGCCTATCGGATCTGAGCTTCCTCATGAGTATTTCTCATGAGTTCTGTGTTCTCTGTAGCAGGTCCATTTCATTTGCATTCTGACTTTCCTATATTTTCCCCTTTAAACTTTTCTCTGTCCTCCTTAAACTGTGTACCCAGTGATGCATTGTATTAAGTTAGTATGAAGGGAGGTGCCACTTTGTCCTGATTACAGAGGAATGATTCCGGTTGTCCTCCTTTGGTAGTGTTAGGTTTAGGTGTGTCTCATTGTCTTTATTATGCTGAGGTATGTTCCTTCTATTCTCACGTTCTTCAGAGCTCTTTTACTGAGCAAATGTGATATTTTGCCATAGGCCTTTCATGGACCTGTTTACAAGGTCATGTTCTCTCCCTGAGTCTACATATGTGATGTCTTACATCGATTAGTTTGTAGATGCTGAAAGAGTATTGTGTCCTTCACATTAAATCAGCTTGCATTCTGTTTCCTTGTCATTTAGAGACAATCTCTGTGTCTGTGTCAATCCTGCCAACCGGTTTGTGATTTTTCTTTGCATATGCTTGTTTGGGCTCACCTGCTTTGGGTATCAAGTTAAAGCCAGCTTTGTATGATGACTTCTAGAATTCCTTTTCTTTGAGTTTTGTGCAATATTCTCCTTTTGGCATGAATATGAGGTTTGACTGGAGGAAAAGAGAGTTCCATGTTACATCTGTTCAGTCCTGAGACACTGTTAGAGGAAACTCTTCCTGCTTCAGTCTCAGCACTCAAATAATGCCTGCTCTAGTTTTAAGACAGAAAATTGATTTGTTCACTTGTTTCTAGGAACTCGTCCCTTTCTCCTTCAATTCTGATTTATTTGCGTATGACTTTCCACAGCACTCCGTAAGGTAACACTGACGTCACTGGTATACACTGCAATGTCCTCTTTTCTGCTCCAGTCCTAGTACTTGAGGATTCACTCTTTTAGTTCAGATAGGGAGAAAAGTGCTTTGTCAGTCCTTTTGTCTTCACAGAAACAAGTCTATTCCATTGACCCTGTGTGTTGTCTTGGAGTCTCTAGTTCATTAGTTTCTACACAACCTTTCTACATACTATTTCAGATTGACTTCTTTTTATTCTTATTAGCCCTCAGCCACCTAATTATAGACAAATGTCTTTCATAACCAGCCCCTCTTGCTGCCAATACTTCTGAAGTGTCTTTGTCACCCATTTCTGTGTGACTATCTTTTATGAGCTTATCCTCACCCTGACACTTTAAGAAAGTGTCCTCAGTGCTCCATGAATTATGTATCATTTTTTTTCTTAATTTAAGTCTCCATGGTAGCTAATCAAGAAACAGTAAACAAGGGGCTCGAGAGGTGGTGGTTCAGCAGTTAAGAACATTGCTGCACTTGATGTTTCTGGGTTCAGTTCCCTTTACCTGTATGGAGACTTAACACACTCCTGTACCTCAGGTTCCAGAGGATCTGTTGCCCTCTTCTGGCCACTGCAGGCACTGCATGTACAAGGTACATAGACCTATGTGCAGGCAAAGATGCTTACACACATAAAATTAAAATAATAAAATACAACTTAAAAAAAGGAAAAGGAACAGTAAATCATCTGGAGGTATTGCATAAGGTTTCAAGATAACAGTACAAGAGATGACTTGGAGGTTATCACCGCTAGTGTGAGAGTAAGTGTGGAACCTGCCTATGTGATGTGGTAGCTGATACCTCATGTCAGCATTGAAAGAGTTAGGGTGATCCTTATGGGTGAGAAATAAAGTTGTTTGTGTTCATGGAGCCCAGAGCTGGAGAACATCCTGTGTCCACTGTAATGCGGCAACAGCAGAGTTATCCCATTGATGATGTAGCTAGGAACATAGCAGTTAACTTTTGAGAGGATCCTCTCTAATTGTGGAAGAACTTGTAATACAGGATAACGCTGTCACCCAGCATCCGGTCTACAGAGAAGTCTGCTATAGAAGGAAAGTGAATTGTATCAGACACCACAGTCTTCTTATTCTGTAGTGTAATGACAGGCCCCAGACCTCAAACCTTCTGCACTGATCAGTCATGTATGATGTGGAAAGGACATGTTCCCACTCTAAATAGTTCACAATTGCCAAACAGAACTTGATTAAGAGCTGCATGCTAATTGTGTCCTAAGTCGCATACAACAAACTCTTTCATGCTGTTCATATGCGAAATGTGCTGAAACCAAACACATTGAGTGACATTCTCACTGCCACACTCCAGTGCTGTGGTTTGCATTTGAGCTTTTAAGGTCCTGAAGGTCATGCTTGTTGCTCTCTGAAGAGAGTTGGTTGCATGTGGTGCTCTTCACTCGGGCTTTTGATCTTGCTACATTTCACTTTTGTCTCTACATTGCTGTTGAATTCCATGTTGCTGATGTGACTTCCATGAACCTTCTCCTAGAACTACCTTCTGTTGAGAGAGGGCCCCTCACATTTTTATTGCTGTTCATCAAGTCCTCCCTCTGTTGTTAGTTCAAAGATAATGAATTTTCCATGTGTCCTCTGGTTTTTGTTGGGTAGGATTAGTGAAGTTGTTGAGTGATGTCTCTTTCCTTCCTCAAAGATGAAGATTTCCCTCCTATTTCCTTCTATTGTAGATTTCAGAACTATAATCTGTTGTCTTTGTATTGCTTTAACTCTCCTTTTATACTGTGAATTTCCTGATCTCATTTTCTTGTTATTCTTCTTTCTTAGCTCATTGAGTGTCTTTTAAATTCCTCAAGGAATTCATAAATATCTGTAGTTGGTTTCTAGAGATTTATTTGTATTATTTTATTTATTTTGATCTTTGAACACTCTTGGCTATTGTTTGCATTTGATCATTTATGAAATTGGAACATATAATGGAAAACAGTAGAGCAGTTCCTCTGAAATCATTGGGAAGAAATCTAGAATGCATTTGCCCCATGATTGGATATGGTCAGTTGAGAATTCAGTTAATGAAAAGTGGCATTGGCTGTCTCATACTTACCTTAAAGTTCTTCAGTAAGAAATCATGGAAATGTCCATTAATTATCAAGAGAATTATATGAGATAATA